ACTCCTCTCAATTTGGGAAATTCTGAAGGAATATTTGTTTGCAAGTTGATGATGCCCAACTGATAAAGAGAGGACACATCCCAAATGTTTCAGTTTGGACACTCTCGGGGCCTGTTTGTTGCTGCAACATTTGGATTATGTTTTGTTGATTGTTTGTGTGTGTGTCAGTGTATTCATGGGAGGTCAGGGTTTGAACTCAGAGTGCAGTCTCCTTGATGCATGTACTCATGGTGCATTCTTTAAGGTTGCCCTGAATGCAGTTGTTGGCAGGTACTTGTGGCTATACCATCTGGAACGCACCTGATCTTAGCTGGTATTATAAGGTCTTCAAATTATAGTGCTGCTAAATGAGAAAATGGGATGGAGTTCCATGTATCCAGGCTCTTATGCTGCTATTCTAAGCAGGGTTGGGCCTGGTTAGTATGTGATAATCTCTTGTGGTGCTCTTTGGCCATAGTGTTCTTTGGAGTCTAGGTATGTTTGGCCTTTAAAAATCAAACTACCATGAAAGCTTCTTTACCCTACTGTGAAAAATGAAGTTTAGCTATGTGAACGTGTATGTAGGCCAGTGAATTTGTATGGCTATCTCATGGCTTGAGTTCCAAGGTAAAATCTACTGGATTTTTTCATGTGTATATATGTGTTTAGATGTGTTTATGTATATGTACATTTATTATGTTTTTGGCGTGTCTAGCAAATTGGCTTATAAAGATGCACTCATAAATTAAGTAAATAAGTCCAAACTATGTTTCCAGTTCACATGACAAGTAAATCCTTAATAAACAAGCTCACTTTAAAATTATTAGTAAGATAAAAATAGAATTGTCTTCAGAAATGTTAGAATACATTTTTGTCTGGGCTTTATATTTGTCTCTGTTAGATTTTGAGGTGTCAAGCTTTGGCACAGATTATAAACCATAAACCCAGCCAAAACAAAATGATCTGTGTGTGATTTTTAAAAAACGAGACTAACTTAATGTTGTTGGTTTAATAAAAATAGCTGAATCTTCTGAGTTATTGGCAAACATACCTATGTATTTAACTTTAAGGTTCTTACTTAGGTGAGCACCTGATATTCACAGGCTATAAACAAGGATATAACTTGAAATGATGTGTAATTTGTTCAGTATCTCAGTTTTTAAGAGTAATGCTGATAAACTGTTAGAAATGAAGGAATTGGGCCAGAGACAGTGGCTCAGGCCTGTTATCCCAGCACTTTGGGAGGCTGAGGCTGACAGATCACGACATCAGGAGTTGGAGACAAGCCTGGTCATTATGGTGAGACCCAATTGCTACTAAAATTACAAAAATTAGTTGTACATAGCAGCATGCACCTGTAGTCTCAACTACTCAGGAGGCTAGGGCAGAAGAATCACTTGAACCCAGGAGACAGAGGTTACAGTAAGCCAAAATCATCCACTGCACTCCAGCCTGGGTGACAGAGCAAGACTCCATATCAAAAAAGAANAAAAAAAAAAAAGGAGTGAAAAAATTGACAAGTAAATAGAATAAATTTTGTAGGTGAATGGTAAACTTTTGGTGTAATTTAAAAATCTTAAAATTTTTGATACTCATTGGATATCTGGGTCATTTCCAATGTAAAAAGAGTTACAATATGGAGAAATATATTTCTAAAAATTGTGGAATGTTTTCATTTAAAATACCAATATCGGATAGTTCAGGATTTCTTGTTTTCTAAGTTTTCACTGAAATTTAAGTTTACTAAATATAAGAATTCTAGTTAATATGTAATTCAGTATTTACAATGTGCCAAAGAATATGTATTCTTCTTGAGAAAAAGAATAATTTTGTCTAATTCTGAGGTTATTTAAAGGTATATTTAAATAACTTGAAAAAGTTGATTTATGAAGCAAGATAGAAAGAAAACAGTAAGTAGGTGAGAGAGATGTAAAGAAAGTCATGGACATAAAGATGAATTCTTAGTAAGGAAGGTTAAAGAAAAGTGAATAGCTTTTTATAAGGAATCTTGTATTTTGCATTTTTGTTCTAAATTAAAATGGTTATTTTTAAAACAGAAAATTTAGGATAAAACAGAAAGTCCAGGCATGTCATAGATGGTCTATGTAAGCCACAGGTAGTGTATTCCTATTTCTCCAAAAGTCCATCTGCATACACAATACAGAGAAAATAGAAAGTTGAAAAAGTTTAGATAATAAATATTCTTTAACACTTGATAGGAAATTGGAGAAATTTGCCTAATTAACATTGCTCATAATTAAAGCTTTTAGTCTTGATGAAGGTAAATTAAGAAATATTGTAAAAAATACATTGGCAGTTTGACAATTCTTTTTTAATACAGGTAAGCATGAAGTCAGATTTACATAGAGCCAGATTTCAAATAAATGCTTGCATTGTTCTGTTTCACACTGTATTTGCTCTTCTGCATAGATAATACTAGCGTTAATGTACTTACTGGTCAAGTGCCTAAAGTTAATTTCTTAATCTCACAAAATGTATAGTGGTTTTGATGAACTTGACTACATTAATTTGTAAACCAGGAATGAAATATCAGTCATTTTTTTAGGCTCTGTGTAACACTGTAGCAGGTAAAATTTGGGTTGGGTTTTCTGGTTGTTTTTTCTTTTAATTTTTATTTGCTATTCATTCTCCCTTGAGTTTTGCTTACATGTACTTATATAAGACCATTTATTCCTTTTATTTTCTATAGAGAGTTTGTATTTGGTTCTATGAATAGTCATTTTGTTTTCTAACAGTTCATCATTTGCTAACAGTTCATCATTTGCTCTATTTAGCTAACAGTCCTAAGCTACTTTGTCAAGCCTGCAAAAATTGATAGAGAACTCCAGCGCTTTAAAAATTGATTGATTTTGCTAACCTCTGATGATTTAGAGAGTCACAAGAGTTTTAAATTTCCTAGCAGAAAACATAAAAGACTTATAACTTTTGAGCAGAAATAGTCAATTATTTATTTTTTTATTTGGAAAAGTAGATGAGAGTAAAAATATTTAAATGGTGTTTATTTTCAAGCAAATTCAATCAATAATTTGAGTTAGTTTCAGATATACATATACATATATATATGTATATATAGGTAATTATATAATATATATATATATAGGTAATTAAGAAAAACTGTAATATGGATACAAAGGTTTAATGTTCAGGAAATACTGGCCTCCTCCTTAAGAAAATTGTATTGACTATGATTTCTTTAAAGCTACTTTAGTTGTATTTACTATTATTAAAATTAAGTGACTTTCATTGGGACTAAGTAATAAAAAAAAGTGAGACTTTCTAGTGATTTTTAATCTCAAGCCTTTTTATCACTGTTAGGCCTTCATGTGTGTACTTAAAATATATGCAAGTGTTGCATTGGTTTCAAGAGTCTAGTGGTGAAAGTTACCTAATCAGTTGTTAGTGCTGCATCTAGAAACCAATCTTGTCAATGTGTAATAATACTGTTTTTTTAAGACAAAGTCTCATTTATCACCCAAGCTGGAGTGCAGTGGTGCAGTCTAGGCTCATTGTAACCGCAGCCTCCTGGGTTTAAGTGATTCTCCTGCCTCAGCCTCCTGAGACTGGGATTACAGGTGCATGCAACCACACCCAGCTAATTTTTATATTTTTAATAGAGACGGGGTTTTACCATGTTGGCCAGGCTGGTCTCAAACTCCTGACCTCTGCTGACCCACCCACTTTGTCCTCCCAAGTGCTGGGATTACAGACATAAGCCACCATATCCAGCCAATAATGCTATTTTCCTCTGTGTGCTTGCTCTTGCTTTGTCCCTTTTTTGTTTAGTATTTGAATAAATGGAGATTATTTATCCTCACACTGAATTTCCAAAACTGATATTTGCATTTACCATTTTTTTAAATGATGGAAAAAAGTTGTCTTGCTTTGATCAGTTTGGTAAAGGACCTATCAGTCAGGTTTTCTGATGCCTTTGGTTACAGTTCTGTCACTAGAATGCTTGGAATCAGGGATGTGCAAGGAGTAACCTAACCACTTTAATACAATGGATTCAAATGTTGACTAGACACCAAATGACAGTGTTTTAAATTGTGACATTAGAAAGAATGAAAGCACTTTCTGCAGTAGAAATGTCTTATAAACTTACCTAATCCTTGTCCTGTGACGTTAGAGGACTTTCACTGTTGGGTCTAAAAAACACTAATCTGGAACATTGACACTATTCAAAGACTCCTCTTCAGACCCAGGGGAAGGCAGCAATCAAAATGAACTGCTTTCATGAGACACAGGACCAGAAATTAAAACTGTTCAATCCCTCTAGGCCCAGGAACAATCATGAAAGAGGTGGGTACATGAGAATGTAAGGGCCAATTTCAAAGGATAACATTAGTTCAGAGTTTTTCTGTAAGTTAAACATGAATCTTAAAAGCTCACTGATGCAATGCCAGCATCTGGTCCATTACACTGGAATAACAGGGTTTCCTTGGGGCATTGATCAGCTCTTTAATAAAAAATATTATAAAAGTTGATAAAAGTTTTATAGACATCTTACCTTATGGTCAAACTTATTAAAATTAAACAGATTTTTGCTTATAAGATTTTATTAAAATTAGCTTTAATATGAATGTATGCAATTCCTGAAATTCTGATGTCTTAGAATATGTTGTCAGTAATAATTAGGATTATTATGTTAAGTTGTTGTATGCCACAAAAATAAGCATATGTCCTTGTCAACTGGGCCTTTTCCTATGGCCATCCTAAGACTTTTGTCATCCATAATTGTTGTTTTGCTTTGATTCTTCTCAAAAAATGGCTTATCAGTCCAGGACTTGCTTCTTCGGGGGAGTTTGTGAAAAGGACTCTTGAATGTAGGTTTCTGATAACATTGAGGATTATGCCACTGGACTAGAGAGAAAACTTCTGAGACTCTAATTACAAGGCTCAAATGTTCACAACAATTCCTAACCCAATATGAAGCAGACCAGGAGTTGATTGCATGGACTGAACTAATAGAGGACTGAAATAATTTTTTGTTTTTTTCTTAGAAAAAATGCTGATTCTTTCTTCTGTTTTTTTTTTTTTTTTTTGTTTATCAGAGTTGAGGGAGCTTTTTTCTTTTGGCCTATTTGTATTGTTTAAGAATTGAGAGGAGTATATGTTTTTAAACAGATTTGAGACATATTTCTCTCTCTGCCTGATTTCTTCAGAATTTTGAAACTCTATATTCTTAATTTATGGCAATGTGTTTGTTTGCATATATTTTCTTTTCTAATGGCGCATAGTTGGAACTCGTTATTTTCCAAGGCTTTGACTAAAATGACATGTTTTCTGAATGAGCATACTGCTTTGAGAAATTGAGGTTGACTTTGCAGAGTGGATGAAAACCCCTTAGAAAAACTGGCCTTATAGTTTATGAAGTTCCTTTCCATAGGGTTCCTGGCCAATGGAAAATAGAGAGTATCACTTTTTGAGAGACCTGGAAACCTCAAGCTGTTTGGGGGTCTCAAGAAGAGATGGGTTCACCCAATTCTTGCAGGTATTTTTAGGTGCAGATGGATCCTTGACTGGGCTCAGGAGGCCTTTGGAAGTCAAGTCTGAGATTCCTAATGAGAGATTCCAGCAAAGCCCATTTAGGAGAGCCCAGTTGGACAGTGATTCTTGCTGTATTTTGTGTGGTTATTCAGACCAAGTATGGTGGGACTGAAGCTTACTTTGTAGATAGGTTGGTACTGCTGTGTTTTGTCTTTGGTGCAAGTGAAGGACTGAAGAGAAAATGACTATGTTTCAGAAGAAACCCATAGTGTTTAATATTTGATTCCTGGGTGGCCATGCAGTTGCTCCTGGTATAAACCTGCCGACAATGTCCCTTCTCAAAATGTAGCAGCCAGAAAGATTGATGACTACATTTTCCATAGATGAGGAATTGATAAATTGAAAGTGGGAGACTAAAACCCACCCAATTTTCTCATAGAACTGATGTTTGTGGTTTCATCTGAATAAACATAGAAATTGACTCTCCCAGTATTAAAACTTGAGAAAGTTGTATTTGTCTTGTCTGGGATCCCCTCTCAGGAAACGAACCATCAGGTCTCCCAGATAGCATCCAGGAACTGAATCTTCCACATTACCACATCTGGGCAATGAGATGCAGGACCCCTGCAATGATTGCCCAACCAACCACCTGCTTTTTATGATTGACAAACTCATCTTACTTATCCCTTGAACATTCTCTTTTCTCACACATGGTTACATTTCTTTCCTACTATAAAAACCCCTAATTTTAGTTGGTCAGGGAGACGGATTTGAGAATTATTTCCTATCTCCTCAAGTGTAGCACCTGATTAAAGCCTTCCTCCCTGGCAATACTCATTGTCTCAGTGAATGGCTTTCTGTGTGGTAAATAGCAGGACCTGGACCAAACCCCTGACATTTCAGTAACAATATTAGGAGTATCAAAGTCAGGGATAAGAGTGGTCAGTATGAGCTTCAGGCAGAAGGTGACATTTGAGCAAAATCTTGTAGACAATGAGGCAGTTAGTTAAGAATATTTTAAGAATTTTATATGTCTATTTTAAGGATTTTATAAGAATATTATAAGGAAGTGCTAATAGAAGTATCTTAAGGCAGTAACACACTTGGAATATTTGAAGAAGTACAAGGAGATCAATGGATTTAAAGCAGAATAAGTAAGAAGAAGAGTAATTAGTGATTAAATCTGTGAATGAATATGGTTCAGAACACGTAGGGAACTGTAGGTTTAAATAAAACCAGTATCAGAGGGTTTGTGCAGAATAGTGACACATAATCTGAATCACAATTTATCAAAATTACTCGGTTTGTTATGTTGGGATTAGATTGTAGCAGAGCAATAATGCAAGCAAAGAGATCAAGTCAAGAGGACTTTCAAATTGCCCAATGATGTGGTTTGAATCTGTATCCCCACCTGATATTTGTGTCTGTGTCCCCATTCAAATTTCATTGTAATTGTAATCTCCATTCTTCAAGGGAGGGACCTGATGGGAAAGTGACTAGATCATGGGGGTCAGATTTTCCTTTTGTTTCTGTTAATTGTGATAGTGAGTTTCATGAGATTTGGTTGTTTAAAAGTATACGGCAGCTCTCCGCTCTCTCTTGGTCCTGCTCTTGCCATGAAGATGCCTGCTCCATCTTTGCCTTCTGCATGAATTAAAGCTCCCTGAGGCCTCCTCAGAAGCAGATGTTGCCATGTTTTCTGTACAGTCTGCAGAAAAATGAGCGAATTTTGTTTATTAATTACCCAGTCTCAGCTTTCCTTATTGCAGTATGAGAATGGACTAATACACCCAAGTAAGAAATGTTAGTGGCTCTTCCCATGTGACTGTATCAGAGACAATAAATGGTTATACTCTTTCTATATTTTGAAGGGGCAGTCAATAAATTTCAGAAAAATAAATACAAATAAATATTAATATATTAAAAGTTTATTGTCATTAAGAGAAATTCAAACTATACTAAGATATAGCCATTAAAATAGGAAATAAAAATATAGATAATTACAAATGTTAGTGAAGATATGGAGATACTCAAATTCATATACATTGCTAGTAATGGCATAAATCGATATGATCACTTTAGAAACTAATTTAGCAGAATCTACTAAACTGAACATATGTACACCCTGTGATCTTATATATTTCTTCTAGATACATACCTAATAGATATGTTTATAGGGGTGCACTGAAAGACATATATAAAAATGTTCAAAAATCACTATTTGTAAAAACCACAAACTGGAAATTTCCCAATGCCCATCAGCAGTAGAGCATAAATTGTGGAATAATTGAAACAGGAAAAGTTCCTTTATTCCTCTTGCAGAGTGTGCAATGAGGGTGTGGCTAGCTTCTTCAGTGCCTCCTGGCTGCTCAGATCTCTAGGGGAAGCGTGCAGACAGGCAGGTTGTGGGGCTTCAACTCCAAGGCAGCATCTAGCCATGAATGCTTATAGCTCTGGAAGCCCCAGTGTGTGTGTGTTACAGTCTGCTCTTTCAGTTTAGTCATTGTGTTTATCAGCTCAATTAGACCCTCTGCCTTACCACAAGAAGAGAGGGCTTTCTGTATCCTGGGTTCTTGGCTTGGTGTACCAGAAAAATTGGATTACATGTATGCTTGAAAGATGGGTGTAAGGTTTTTTTTTTATTGAGTAGTGGTAGCTCTCAGCGAGTTGGATGGGGAGGCCAGAAGCAGGATGGAATGGGAGGGTGGTTTTCCCCTGAGGTCAGGCCACCCAGCAGCTGGGCTCTCCTCTGGTCACCCTGGCCAAACTCCACATCATTCCATGAGTCAATGGCTGGCTGACATCTACTGGTGCCTGTCAGTGTACTGTTCTTCCTGTGTGTTCCTCTGGACATCAGCCACTTGTGTGTTCTTCAGCCAGTGTGTTCCTCTCAATGCCCAGCCACTTGTGTCTGTGCCTGCTAGGGTCTCGGAGTTTTTATAGGCACAGGATGGGGGTGTGGAGGGCCAGGATGGTCTTGGAAAATGCGACATTTGGGCACGAAAACAGAAATGCCTGTCCTTACCTAGGTCCATGGGCACAGGCCAGGGGGTTGAGCCCTAGTTGGGGACCCATCCTTCTCTACCCAGCACTTCCCTGCCCCTCCTGTATCATAATCACACAATGGAGTATAATAATCAAATGAGAATGAATGAGAAATTACATCTATATACAAAAGTATGGATAAAGCCCACATACAAAAAAATGTTGAGTAAAGAATGCAGATACATAAATCATCATGGAATCAGTTCACATAAAGATCAAAACCAAGAACAGTTAATCTATGGTGTTAGAAATCAGATAGAGGGCTCCTTTGGATAAGAGTTAATGACTGTGCCTGGGAATACAAGGCGGGCTTCTGGGATGCTGCAAATGCTGTTTCTTGATCTGGGTGCAAGTCACATAGGGTGGATCAGCTGGTGAACATCCATGAATTCATTTGTGATTTTGCACATTTTTAAATACAAATGTTGTACTTCACATTTGAAAATAGAGCTAGTGCTTTTAGCCTATGGCAAAAATATAAAAAAAAATTTTGGCTAGAGAATGGGAAGAAAAATGTTCTCTTGCAGGGATGGTATGAATATAAATTAGTGTAAATTTTATGGAAGTCGATTTTTGTCTTACTAAATACCAAACCTATGAATTCACATATTCCTTTTCCCAGCAGATATACTCCTAAGAATATGTTTTTATACTTTTACACATGAATAACATAATGTATGTTCAAAGTTATTGTAGCATTGTTTGTACTAGCTATAAACTGAAACAACCTTAAAGGAATCAATGGAAACACGTTTAAATAAATTATGGCTGCAGCTGTTCAATGGAAAGTTATGGAGTTATAAAAAAAAAGCATGAAAAAGAGTTATATGCACTAATATGGAACAATTGTCAAGATACATTATGAATTTTTAAGTGAGGTGAAAAATGACTGACTTATATGTTTCAATTTATTCTAAAAGAATATGTGCTTGTATATACATAGGGGAGGATAGATAAGAAACTTAAACACTCTAAGGAAAATAGATAATAAACCACTGATAGTAGTTGTAGAAAGACTTTCTACAGCATATCTTTAAGGTTTCTGAATAAGTAATTATATTTCTTATTCAATAAACAAATACAATATACATTGAAATGAAAAATAATTTTATTAAGGAGGAAAAGGTACACAATCTATCATAAAATAACTATAACCAGAGAAGGAAATAATTTTTCTCACCTGGGTACTACACCAATGCAGTGTTCCAAAGTCACACCTGTATCATTAAGTGTGAAGTTTAATAAATTGTGGGAGCCATTCAGAAGAGGCAGTTTTATAGTTCCTGCTTAACAGAACATATGATAACATTGTGGTTATATTTATTGGATTCTGTCACTGTCAGTTTAAGATCATGTCTACTTCTTTATTCATTGCATTAATAAGAAAATAAATTATCTAACATAGTCATTTTACACTTGCCTTTCTGTTTTCTAGTTTTTCATAATTTAAAAGAAATACTACAGAGATCTGCTTTTCAAAGGTACCTATATTTACAAGGTATCTAATATCTAGATGAAAAGTCAAAAATACTTTACTTTTTGTACTTCTCTTTTTACATTCTTGGGTCAATAATCTTTTCTTATTTCAGCAATGTATAGATAGATGGTTGTAATCTCAAAGATTTTATAAGAATCAAGTATTTTCTAATTATAAAACACACTTGAAAATATTCAATGGATATCTTATGTTAATATGAAAATATACACTAAGGCTAACAATTTTAGTTCATAATTTTAATGTGCTATACATTTTTATCTCATTATTTCAAAATATAGATATTAGTTACATCAAATTCAAATGATTCAGAAAATCTTCTTTTATTGTTTGTACCAAACAATATATTTTGGATATATATTTCTCAAAATAGAAAGATAAATACATACAGATTGTATGAAATATTTTAAAAAACTGATACATTAGTTTTTAGATAAATTTTGTAACTATATCAAGAAACTCAATTAAGAACTATTTAAAATTTTAATGAAATCATTCCAGTAAATGAAGCTAATATTTTAAAAAGTAATCTATTTTATTTATTTCTTCTAAAAAATGGGATACATGTACAGAACGTGGAGGTTTGTTACATAGGTATGCATGTGCCATGGTGGTTTGCTGCACCTATTGATGCATCTTCTAAGTCCCCTCCTTTCACCCCCCAACCTCCAGCAGGCCCTGGTATGTATTGTTTCACTCTGTGTCCATGCGTTTTCATTGTTAAACCCACACTTATTAGTGAAAACATCTAGTGTTTGGTTTTCTGTTCCTGTGTTAGTTTGCTGAGGATGATGCCTTCCAGCTTCATTCATGTCCCTGCAAAGGACATGATCTCATTCCTTTTTATGGCTCCACAGTATTTCATGATGTATATGTACCACATTTTCTTTTATTATTATTATTATTATTGTTATTATTATACTTTAAGTTCTGGGATATATGTGCAGAACATGCAGGTTTGTTACATAGGTATACATGTGCCATGGTGGTTTGCTGCACACATCAGCCCATTAGGTATTTCTCCATCTACATTAGGTATTTCTCCTAATGTTATCCCTCCCCTTGCTCCCCATCCCCTGACAGGATCCCATGTGAAATGCTCCCCTCCATGTGCCCATGTATTCTCATTGCTCACCTCCCACTTATGTGTGAGAACCTGCAGTGTTAGGCTTTCTGTTCCTGTGTTGGTTTGCTGAGGATGATGGTTTCCAGCTTCATTCACAAACCTGCAAAGAACATGAACTCATTCTTTTTTATAACTGCATAGTATTCCATGGTGTATATGTGCCACATTTTCTTTATCCAGTCTATCATTGATGGGCATTTGAGTTGGTTCCAGGGCTTTGCTATTGTGAATAGTGCTGCAATAAACATATGTGTGCATGTGTCTTTATAATAGAATGATTTATAATCCTTTGGGTATATACCCAGTGATGGGATTACTGGGTCAAATGGTATTTCTGGTTCTAGATCCTTGAGGAATCGCCACACTGTCTTCCACAATGGTTGAACTAATTAACACTCCCACCAACAGTGTAAAGTGTTCCTATTTTTCCACATCCCCTCCAGCATCTGTTGTTTCCTGATTTTTTAACAATCGTCATTCTAACTGGCATAAGATGGTATCTCATTGTGATTTTGATTTACATTCTCTAATGACCAGTGATGATGAGCTTTTCTTAAGTATGTTTGTTGCCCACTTAAATGTCTTCTTTTGAGAAGTGTCTGTTCATATCCGTCACCCGCTTTTTGATGGGATCGTGTGTGTTTTTCTTGCAAATTTGTTAAGTTCCTTGTAGATTCTGGATATTAGATCTTCGGCCCCCAATCTCTTCTGGCTTGCAGAATATCTGCTGAGAGGTCCACTGTTAGTCTGGGCTTCCCTTTGTAGGTGACATGGCCTTTCTCTCTGGCTTCCCTTAATAGTTTTTCCTTCATTTCAACTTTGGAGAATCTGATGATTATGTGTCTTGGGGTTGATCTTCTTACAGAGTATCTTAATGGTGTTGTCAGTACTTCCTGAATTTACATGTTGGCCTGTCTTGCTAGATTGGGAAAGTTCTCCTGGATAATATTCTGAAATGTGTTTTCCAGCATGTTTCCATTCTCCACATCTCCTTCTGGTACTCTGATCAATCGTAGGTTCAGTATTTTTATGAAGTCCCATATTTCTTGGAGGCTTTGTTCATTTCTTTTCTTTCTTGTATCTCTGTCTCTACTTGTCTGCATGCTTTATTTCAGCAAGGTGGTCTTCAATCTGTGATATTCTTTCTTCCACTTGGTTGATTTGGCTGTTGATACTTATGCATGCTTCACAAAGTTCTCATGCTATATTTTTCAGCACAAGCAGGTCATTTATGTTTCTCTCTAAACTGGTTATTCTAATTAGCAATTCCTCTAACCTTTTATCAGAGTTCATAGCTTCTTTCCATTGGTTTAGAACATGCTCCTTTAGCTCCGCATGGTTTTTTATTATCATCTTCTGAATCCTACTTCTGTCAATTCTTCCATGTCATCCTTGTCCAGTTCTGTGCCCTTGATGGAGAGATGTGATCATTTGGAGGAAAAGAGGCACGCTGGCCTTTTGGGTTTTTAGTCTTTATCGCTGATTCTTTCTCATCATGAGTTTGTCTAGTTTTGGTCTTTTAGGCTGCTGACCCTTGGATGGTTTTTTTGTTTGTTTGTTTTTTTGGTGGGGGCTTTTGGTTGTTGTTGTTCATACTGTGGTTGTTGCTTTCTGCTTGTTTTTCTTTCAGTGGTCAGACTCCTGTTCTGTAGGGCTGCTGCAGTTTGCTGGGGGTTCACTTCAGGCCCTATTCATCTTATTCACTCCCACGTTTGCAGATATCACTTAAGGAGGCTGGAGCACAGCAAAGATGGGTGCCTGCTCCTTCTTCTGGGACCTCTGACCTCTAGGGGCACTAACCTATACAGGATCACTCTTGTATAGGATGTCTGACAAGTCCTATTGGAGGGTGTCACCCAGTTGGTTGGCATGGGGAAGAGGACCCATTTAATAAAGCACTCTGTCCCTTGTTTGAGGGGGGTGTGCCTTGCTTGGGTGAAACCTACTCATCTGGGCTGCCCAGATTTCTCAGAACTACCAGGAGGAAAGGTAGGACTGCTTGTCTGTAGAGACTGTGGCCACCCCTCCCCTTAGGGGCTCTGGCCCAGGGAGATCTGGGTTCTGTCTCTGAGCCACTGGCTGGAAATACTGGAGTTCCTGCAGGGAATCACCACCATGAAGTTGGATGGGTCAGGGACAGGCCTGAAGAGGCACTCTGGCCACAGATTGCCACAGCCAGTATGTTGGCCTGTGGGGCACAAGTCTTGGGACCAAGTTGTCCAGTCTCCCTGGCTCCAGTAGGGAAAAAATCACAGCCTGGATGGACAGAGATGGTTGCTGTTCTTCCCTGCCCAGAGAGCTTAGCATGTTAGGCAATTGCAAGTCCCAGTGCTAGCTGCTGCCCTTCTCAGAAGGAGCTCAAAGGGCTTAGACAGCAGGCAGTCAAAGGGCTTAGACAGCAGGCAGCCACAGCTTGGTACTGGTTGCCCCTCCCCCCAGAACTCAGCAGGTTTAAGCAGATTCCAGGTGAGAGGCTGATGAGGATATGCGTGTTCCGGGATTGGGAACCGAGTCCCCAGTGGCGTGGGTTCGCAAGTGGGGTCTTCAAATCCATGGATAGCATAGTTCCATGAAAAAACATAGTTTTCCCTCCTAGGTAGCATGCTCACTCACTGTCTCCCTTGGATGGGGAGAGAGGACTTCCCTGCACCATGTGGCTCTCAGGTAGGCCCCTGCACCACATTGTTCTTCCTTCTCTCTGTGGGTAACACCAGCCTTCTAGTCAATTCTGATGAGAGAACCTGGATATGTTGGTTGCTGTTGAAGGATTCACACTTTTATTATGTTTCTTTCCAATGGGAGCCTTTGCCTCGCTGCTATTTCTAGTTGGCCGTCTTGGCCCTACCTTATACTTAGTTTTTAAAATTCTATTGTTATAAGAATACTTGGCCTGAGATATATCCTTTTAACACATTTTAAGTGTACAATACAGCATTGTTGACTATAGATACAATGTTGTGCAGCAAATCTCTAGAACTTACTTATCTTCCTTAACTGAAATTTTATAACCAGTCATTAGTAACTCCCATTTCTGGTCCCCCTGGCTCCTGGTAACCACCTTCCACTCTTTGATTCTAAGAACACGACTATTTCAGATTGTCGATATAAGTAGAATTATGCTGTGTGTGTGTGTGTGTGACTGGTTTATTTCATTAATCATAATGTGTTGAAGTTTCATGAATGCTGTTGCATTTTGCAAAATTTTCCTCCTTTCTAAGGCTGAAAAATATTCAAAAAAATATTTTTTTAAGCAGCAGGGGTTTGATAGGCAGAAGAGAAAGGAGGAGGGAAAGACCCTATTCTACATTTTTAATCCATTTTCTGTTCAAGGACATTTAGTTTGTTTCCATATCTTGACTATCATAAATAATGCTTCAATGAACATAGGAGTTCTCATATCTCTTCTAGATCCTGATTGCAATTCTTTAGAATAAATATCTAAAAGTGGGATTGCCGGATTATATGTTGAAGCCCTTGACTACATTTGGTATTTCATTTATTGAATTATACAGTTTCAGGATTTCTGTTTGATTCTTTTTTTATATATGATATCTATCTCTTTGGTAAATTTCTCATTCATATTCTGAATTGTTTTTCTGATTACTTTGTATTGTTTATCCATGTTATGTATGCCAGTGAGCATCTTTATTCCCATGGTTTTAAATTCTTTTTTCAGGCATTTTGCAAATTTTCTTTCATTGGAATTGGTTGCTGAAGAATTATTGTGTTCATTTGGAGTGTCATATTTTCTTGCTTTTTTATGATTATGGTGATCTTTTGTTGATATATAATTGCATCTGGTGTAACAGTTGCTTCTTTCAATTTTTTGATTTGGCTTTTGCAAAGGGAAGAACTTTTCCTGTAGATGTATCTATGGCGTTGGTGGGTAGAGTACATTAGCTTTGATTATGTATATATGAAGTAGTGTAAACTTTATATCTTTTTTTTTTTTTTTGGTTGTCAATAGCATCAGTGGTATATGAGATTGCCTCAGTGGTTTATAGTGTGGTTTTTTTATTGCATGCTGTGGTGAGGTTTTGCTGGTGAAACCAGATCAGTCAGTACT